CAACTCGTTGACACTCACCTTTGGCCCAAAATGTGGGGAGTTTTTATTCAAGCTTTAGGTACTTTTTATACCCGTCTCCTTTGGCTTGGTTTACCTTCTTTTTTAATGATTTGTATGTTTGCCGCAGGCGGTTTGTTTGCCTGTTTGTTTGTTTGCTTGCAGTGTGTTTGAGCAAATTTGCTCGCCAAACTCACTTTCATGTTTAATTAAAAGATAACACACATACACACAGTGACAGCCCACACACACACAGAAGCACACGTGTGAGGGAATGATATGACAAGTCTTAAAGCATTTGCAGCGTTTATCGGGCCAACTTTGGCCACGCCCCCGCCTACGCCCCTTTTGCTTTTGGCTTTGGAAAATTTATGCAATTCGAGTTTGTCCATCTGTGTGTGTGTGGGTGTTTTTGAGCTTTGCAGTCGAGTGTGTGCAATGTGCTGGAAAATATATTTCCCAAACTCCGGGAAAACTTATCTGTTTTCGGAGAGTTGGAGAGGTGCCATGGCTACGTGACGCTTATCGTCATTATAATTGAAAGCTTTAAAAATTTATGGCCAACTTTTCGGCTATTTAGCATATCAAATCGTAAAATGCGAACGGCAGTTGGGGGAGTAGGAAAAACTCGGCAGGCACGCAAATAATTATTTCCTGCCACTCGCAAATAAAAAACAATTTCAATTGGCTTTTACGATGCGTATTTTGGTTTTATACGCACTCGCAAAAAATACGCAGGGACTTATAAATGTACAGATTTGGGATATAAATCGAGCGGAATTTTTATTAATTTATTACCGGCAGTTTGCATCGTGGGAAAAATTAATTTTCATATGGGGTTAAAAATTTGTTAATGTGGTTTTAAAGCCTGAATATCAAAGTTCATACTGTTAAATGATTTTTTTATAAAAATAAAAATGTATTTAGTGTAGTCGCATTTAAATATTTTAGACGTTGTTATTTTAATTTTTTATTTGCTTTATTTAAAATTACTATAATTTGAGAAATTGTCAAAACAGTTTTTTCCTTCAGTCTATTTCATGTATAGAAAATGTGTTGCCATTTGTAAATACAACAATTTTTGAAATATTTAGATTCGATTTATATTTTGGTATATCACTTTGTGAAGTCTTTCTGTTAATTTAACTTTTTTCGAGTGCTTCTATTTAGTATCACCAACACCGCTGGCCATCAATTAATGTCGTGCCATAAAAAGTTGTATAAAGTGATTGACTGTCCCGTTTACCGAGTGGAGTTGAGTGACCCCTGACCCCAGACCCCTGATCTCCGATCCCTGGCCATTTCCATTTGTGGGCTCGATTGGCAAGTTGGCATGTTGAAATATTTAAAGCCGCTTAAACAAATTGTGGTCTGGTCATGCGGTGACTTGTCAGACAGTAAAACATTGCGAGCGCAGACGGAGCGATTTCATTACGGGGAAAATCAATAAGAGAGGGGGGGTTTGGATTTTCCTTCGCTCGTAATCTCCTCGTAATAAAACTCTCTCGTTAGGCGCATTAAATTACAAATTCCATTAAAATGATTATTAAAGCAAGTATTTGCTAATTAATTTACTTGCTACGCACAATGCCAGGACGCAATTAATAAATCCAAATGAGTAGCTACACATTATAATCAAGACACTGGCCGAGCAGCCTGAACGCACCAAACACCCTGTAAAAAAGCCATTTCGAGGGGATTAAGCATTTAAATGTTTTTTATCGGCGGCTCCCTCTAGGGGTCATTAAGCTGGTGGGGCGCCCCCTGGCGAGGGCTATGTTAATTACCCTGGGCTTTGAGGAATTATCCAGACTTTTCAACTTTAAAGATTTTATGGCAAGGTAACTAATAAGAATTTCACTAAATTTACTAGATAAATAAAAATACAAAGATAATTTTCTTTTATTTACATTTTAATATTATATATCATTATATAAAATAAATTTTGGTTTTCTGCCTTATATTTCCGCCATTACTTAAGAAGCCCAAAACACGAGGCAATGTTACATACAACTAGACACTGATTTTTATAAATAAGTTCTTAGCTGAGTCCATACAACTAGGCAAATTTTTTTTTTAAATTTAACGCTTTTTAGAGCCCAAATAACTAAGCAAGGTTAATTTTTAATTTTTTTAAGTTCTCAGAGGCCAAAATGTGAAAAATATACTGATGATTAAACAAAAATCTTAAAATGATCACCAATAGATTTATTTTCACATTCACTGAAAAAATATGGAGTATTAAAGCTTTTACGAAATTAAAAACACAATCGTTCTTGAGAAAACGTAACTTCTTTTTTATTCATCCAAGAAGGAGCACTCATCCGTTTCAATTCCTCTGCAATTGCAATTCCATTCCGGGCCCAACTAAACTCTCATTGTGATGGAATCGTAACAATCTACCCTTTGTTACCCCCTGAAACACAATGAATTACAGCAGTGCCCCATGACCCCGGTTCTCGCTGTAGTTCTTATGAATAATAAAGCAAATAATCTGTCAGCGTCGCAGCCGCCTAACCAAAAACCAAAAACCGGAGGCCACCCGAAGCCAAACCCAATCCCAATCCCAGAGCCCGGAGAAATGGAGATGGAAGGAGATGGCGACAGGGAGAGCGAAGGAGAGGCCACTACAGCCGGGGAATGTCACTGAGAAGTCCACAGCGACAAACGACTCAATTCGTGGGCGAAATTCGAGTACTCTCAGTCGACATTTGCTCTGTCTGACAAATCAAAAAAGGGAGATGCACTGAGAAAAAGTGTAATACTATTTCAGATTAAAATATATTCCTACACATTTTTTACGAATTTTATAATGGTTTGTTGATTAATTATTAATTATATTTTAAAATGTTTAATTAATGGAGGTATATTTTAATATGTTTATATAATAATATACAAATTATTTACAATTTAAATATATCTTTTTATTTCCCTGGACGATTTTTACAATTCTTTTTTATTTTCAAATATTTTAGGAATCAAATTAAAATTGAATTCAATTGAAATTAAAATACTAGAGAAGTAAAACCATTTTCATTAACTATTTTCCTTGGTGCATGGAAATTCGTATAGGAAAACGCGGAAAAGCGTGTGGGAAAGGGGGAGCGGTGAGTCCAGTGCTAATAACACGAAATCCGATTTGAACGTCGGACCTGCGTGTGATAAAAGCAACAACATCACGCAGTCTGCGGTTGCCTTTTTCCGTTTCGTTTCATTTCGTTTCGTTTGGTTTTGGTCTGGACTCGTGCCACGCTGCGTATGCGTAACGTGCGTTTTAATGAAATATTGAATTTTATTGCCTGCGTGCCCAGGACGCGCTGTCAACAACTTGGTCCAAAACCAAAAGCTGACCCTGACTGGCCCGCTTCACAACTTGTCACTGCCTCAAGGGCTGAATTACACGCAGAAAAAATAAGAGAATCCCTTGATTTATGGAGCTACTGTATAAAGAGAGTAAATTGTGAATCTTTAAATATATAATAATATTTATACCAATTTTAAAATAGTTGCATATATTTAAATCAAATATAATCGGCTCAGAAATGTATTAATTTAATTCAAATGAAAAATAATTTTAGTAATTTTGGATTTTATGAATTATAATTGTTTGCTAATAAAGAAATATAAATAAAATATGTTGCTAAACTATAAAATATATAAAAAAAACAACGTATTGGGCAATAAAAATCATTACAAATGTATTTATAATTTATTCATTCTCTCAATCATCAATAGAAACTCGCAGCTATTGTTTCCCTATTTGTTGTTACTATTTTATTACCCTTTTTTGTGCATTAATTTTTTTCTCCGTGGAGGAGATCCGTTTCACCCTCGCCCCTTCGTAAGCTCTTAATTTGATTCGTTTTATTTGTTATGCAAAAACTTGAAGTATATTATTATTACCCATATATACGTAGTCCGTACCGTTCGTTGCGCCTGCCTAATAAAAGCAATTTATGGAGCCCAAAGCGCGGAAATGAATTGTTAACCGAATTTCTCTTTTTTTTGGAGCTGCGAAGTGAGTTTGGGAGAAGGATGATGTCCATGATGTTGTTGATGAGTGGGTGGTGTCTTTTGTTTATGGTCACTCAGCCCACTTCGCCCCTCTTCACGTAAACGCCTTTTGCGGCATTGTGAATTTCCCAGAGCGCACATAAAAATGAAAACCGCCAGAAGGGGCAGATAACAAGTGGCAAGGAAAACGGGGGGCGTGGCACGGCAGGAAAAAAAAGGAAAATGAGAATGCATAAGGGAGGGGGAGCTAAAGGTGAAAGTCAGTCACGCAAGAAGAATGCAATCGGCTGGGTCTGAAAAACAAGCTTCATATGGCGGTGGCTCCAATCAAGGGCGTTTTGCATCCCAAGAACTGAAGGCAAAGTCTTTAAAAATATGCAAAGGTAAAAAAAATACCTTAAGGCATATGGAAAAGCGGCTTCTGAATGGGGAAGGAACTTTTTTATTAAGTTTGTTGTTAAATATCGGAATTTTGTAAAAAAAGTTTTTTACAAACTAATTAAAGGGCGAACTCAGGTCAGTTTTTTATTTTATAACAAAAGGTAAATTTTGTAAAAATTTGCAATAAAATGATTTATACATTTTCAGATCATTATTCAATTTAAGTCATATATATTAAGTACATTTATGCAACTATTTTGGTTAAGAGTACTATGTCGCGTATTTTGGCTTTTTCTACTTCATATATCATTTTACTTCATATATGAAAATCAAAGTAATTGAATTATACTTCATTGAGAACTTAATTTAAATATTTACTTTAATTTAAGGTATACAAATAAACCAAAAGTATTAACTACACTTAGTTGCCACATTTTGTTGCCGTTGCACCTTAAAAATAAACCTCAGGGAGAGGTCATGGAAATAAAATTGAAACGGTAAAACAAAATAAACCGCAGCAGCCGCTGCTTCGGCCTGATTTCGAGTTCGTGCCTCCATTAATGTTTTTTTACCCCTTTGTTTCTGTTTAATTGTGAGATAAAACTTACCGATAATGAGCAGCTTTATGGTCGACATGTTTGGCTGTGTGTTGCTGATGAATTTTCTGTTTTCAGAGCGTATTTTTTTCGTTTCTCTTTGATTTTTTGCGTGGTATTTACAGAAATATTAATCCGCTAAAGAGGCAACAGTTTGACAGCAACTGGAGTCCGCCGCTTGGCACAAATTGCATTTTAATGTCGGTGCAATGGCAATGCAATTTCGATGACGATTATCCCGAGACACATTTCCCGGTTTTTGTTTCTGCGGTTTGCGTTTTTGTTTTCACAACTGTTTTTTTTGTGTTTTTAATTTCCTTTTCAATTTGCTGTTTTCTGTTTTTAAAGGCTCACTTGAGAATTGATTTTCCAGCTGCAATGTGGAAATGCTATTTCAAATATTCAGACACTCGAGATGCCAGGACACTGTAATTAAATGTTTCAATTAAATTAAATGCGACGCACACAGACACATACGGACAAACTTCTGCTCATGCTCATGCAAAATGCAGATGGAAGGCGCCTAGAAGTAGGCAATGAATATTTAAGGCCTCAGACATTTCAATTTGGGCCTGCAAAAGGGGGTCGAAAAGCAAAAGGTCCAATTGAAGCCATGCCCAGGCATTAAATTAACATATTTCCCAAATAATAATAATTTCCAGGAGTCGAGAGTGGAGAGCAGAGAGATGGATCCACAGCAAATGGAATTGTGCCCAGGCAGTTTGGCTTTTCTACACATGTAAACCGGGCTGCTAATGTCTTATTCATGTTTACAATGCCCGGGCAAAAAGCGACTTATGAGCGGCCAGCATGTCAGTCAAACAGCTCGAAAATGGCCCACCGCTTGCGTGCTCCAAACTTATTAGGTTTCATCCGCCTCCCAAAGACCCCATCCCTATGCCCAGGTATCATCGTACTATCATATCCCACTCCTCTGGCGTGTCTGATGGGCCTCCTTTTCTGGCCAAGCCTCGGCAATTGCCGGGCTATTTATTTAAACCCGAGCCGAGGGGACTCAATTGTTAATGAAAATCTCCTGCGCTACTCCGCACTAAATGCTCAGTAATTATGAGTTATTTATGTTGCCAGCCTGGTTTTTTCAGTCTGCGATTTCAAAAATTTGTCTTGTTTGTATAGAGTAATTTATTAATTGATGGTTAAAAACATAAAAATATATGCAAATAGTAGTGGTTTAGGTTTCTAGAAAAATTTATTGATTTGCACTTTTAAAATTTGCTAAAATCACTACTGAAGTCATTCCATTAAAACCCCTTTTTTAATTTTATCTAGCTTTAGTTTAATTTTGAATCAAACATTTTAGACTGCTGTATTTCTTGATTCAAAAATATCACAATCAAAATCAACAAATTTTAATCTTCACTTTAAATATTCTCACTTTTTCCCATTTACACAATCCGTTTCTTGAAGATTTTTAAATTTACTAAAAAAACATTTTAAAATATATTTAAATACGGTTTTTGGTTTTTCTTCAAAATCGCAACTTAAGCCGATTACAAAACCTTTAAAAAATGAATCCTTCTTAATTGACATTTAAGCAACGCTTTCTCTGCACTTTTATTATCACAGAGATTTATTGCTCTTCGGTTTCTTTAAATGTACAAATAACTCCATTTAAATATTTTATTCTGCCACAAACTGGGAAATCAATAAAAAATGTATTGCATTTTGTGTTCACAATATATCTACGACTTTTACAGAGGCCTCGACAATTGCTGTGATTTTTCCTTATTCTATATAGGAATATATTTCACAAGAGCAACTTTCGGCCAGTCATAACTCAGCGAATTTAACGACGTGAGTCCTTGGCACAACTCATAATTCGCTTATGCATGGCCAGAAACTTTAAGCTAAACCACTTTCAACGACATCGCAGAAAATACCAGCAGCCATAACAATGGCCGAAAAATAAATAATAAAAAGAAAAACGCCAGGCAAATGCTAAAGAAAGCCCCGAAATCAGCTGTCACAGTGGAATAATAAAAATAATTTATTTGCATTTTATTTGCACAGCCAGGGAGTCTGGGCTACTGACTGGGTTTCTAGCGTTCTTTCGCTAGGACCAAAGACCAAGGACCAAGGACAACAAGTTGCTGACACACAAACGGGGCAGGAAAAAAGTAGGAAATTATACGGATTTGACAGATGAGCGAAGGTAAGATGAGCACAACATTCCGCAGCGGCTTTAAATTGAGCAGAAATTGTTTGTCACTGTTTGTTGGCCCCTTTTGGGTTTTCCACTTTTTTCTATTTTTGTTGCACTAGTTTTGGCCCAGTTTCTGGCTTTTTGGCGGCATGAATATGCAAGGGGGAAAGGGTGGCAAGGGGGCGGGGGACAGGGGGCAAGGTCACGGGGAAAAGCGGGGCAACAGTTGCACTTGAGTGCCATTTGTCGAAAGAGTTGCCCGGCAATTTGCATAATTACAAACGCACATGTAAACGAAACGCGGTTTCCGCCTGTCCGCAATTTCCACTGCAACGCTTTTCCGCACTCGCGTTTCTTCGGTTTTTCTCTCTAAATATTTCAGGTCCTTTTCTTTCTTCACCTAGGACTTTTTCCGATTTGTTTCCCGACTTTTCCGCTTTGCCGCCCGTGGCCGCAGAACGCTTCTTACCAACTAACTGCAATTTCAGTTTTGTTCCTGCTTAAGAACGAAGCTCACTATGACGAACGTGCTCGACTAACGAGTACAGTGAACTTCGGCAGAACATACGAAGTCCGAGAAGACGAAGTCGCCAATTTTTGGTTGTTGAATATTTCGCGTGGCGACTGCGCCGAGAGAGGAGGCTTGGCAACATGTTGCCAAGGGAGCGAGAATTTTAAGTTCGGGAGCAAAGACAATCCGCTGCAGGACCCTTGTGGTAGGTTAGGGACTCCAGAAAACGGGACTCGGTCGAAGGAACCGCAAATTGTCCTAGGACTGAATTTATTCAAGCAGCTGAACTAGAATTAAACTGAATTCTAGTTCAGCTGCTTGAATAAATTATTATTTATTTATTGTTTTGTCATAAAAGTATTATGTGTGTTTTTTTAATACCTATTAACAATAAAAATGTTGCCTAATTATATTGAGTATTTTGAGTCGCCCTGCCAATATCTTTAATATTTAGATAAATTTATCATTTATGTGCTTACATTTTTATATAAGTTTAAGAGTACATTTTCATAAAAATGTTGTACTTCTAATTTATATATAGTTTGCTTTGTAACAGATGTTTTACTTTCATATGCTCATATGCACAAATTGAATATTAATAGTTCTGGCCAAAACAAAACAAATGATTTAAAATGAATTTGTATAGCTTGTTGCTTTGTTTTATATCTTATATAATCTATAGAAATGCAATTTTAATTGTCCAGATATGCTTTATGTGCAGTCGTTAAAAATACATTTATTATCAGTCTAAAAGCTGTCAACACTAAAAATAAAAAAAACAAAATTGCAAATATAAAAAAAGATATGCAGCTTTATTTATCGGTAAATTAATGCGAAGTAATAGTTTTTTTTCCAAATAAATATTTTATTTATTTTTAAAGAATTTACTTTATTAGTTTGTTGTTGCCCCCTCTGCTCTTTTGTTTTATTTATGTTTTGGGGTCAGTCGAAGTTTGTTGTTTATGGGCATAAACACACACGAAGCTGAGTTCACGAAATTTTGTTTTGGACCATAATCGTTGGGATTCGGTTGTTGGCCAAGTTTTTTGCCAATCCAATCCTGGCTAACTTTCCCAGAGAGAATCCGTTTCCTTGCCATTCGTTCCCCTCTCTCTCGTTTCTTCCGAGACTTTTCTCTCGCCTATTCTCTCGGTGAAAATCTCTCTTTTGGCAACATGTTGATTTATTGCATTCGCAAGTGCATTCGTTTTTATTACTAAGTGAATCAACAGTTGGGCCTGACTAGTGCAGTCGAAAAGTTCTGTTAGCCCAAGGTTTTATAATATTTTTAAATGCCCCTCATATATTCCTGAAATATTCTAGAATTTATATGCGAAAGCCAACTATATTTTTTAGGCCCCTCTGAATATTTCGAGCAATCAACAGAAGTGACTGCCATTTTACCCCAGCTAAATTCTGTGAGTAGTTTATTGCTCACCCTTCGCTGGCTGAAGATTTTTGACCCCCTTAACCCCCCTTTTTGAATATGTCGTGGCACATAAAAAATATTTGCAAACTGAATGTGGCAAGTTTTGCCAAAAAAAGAGGGGGGAAAGTGACTGCCACAAAGGTTGTGCCAACACCTCAGTCACACACACAGAGACAAATACAAAAGTTGTTAAAAAGTCCAAATAAATAAATTTTCTCTTTCACCGAAAGTGAGATAGCTATAGAGCGAAGTGAGTGAGAGGGCGGAAGTGGAGACGCCTCACAAATGTTTGACATAAATTTATGCGTTTTGTGTGTTGCCCACGAAAACTCCTCAACTTTGCTTGTAGATCAGGTTAGGTGGTAGATTTTTATTTGGGGGTGTAGTGGGGGGCTGGAAAATTGAGAAGAGGGGTGGAGAAACCGGTGAGGAGGCAGACAGTCATGAGGTTGAGGCTGGCAAACTAAAGTGTGTTTCGAAATTGAGTTGTCATAAAAGCATCAGCAGGAGTCGTATTGAAGGCCTGAGGTGATCACAGTAGAAAATCCTTGGAAAACTAAATTTAATATTGAGGAAATAAGTAAAATAATAAATAAAAAATAAATATTAATTAAAAAATAATTAAATATTAAAAATAATTAAAATTATTTTACTGATAGTTAGATGATTTTTTAATAAAGAAAATCTTTAAAATTAATATATTATAAATGCTTTTTTATTATAAATGTAAGAATTAACTTCTTAAAAATTAAACAAATAAATATTTTTTTTCTAATTTATCAATTTATAATAGTTTAATTTAATTCTATATTAAATTTTTTACTCTCCAGTGTAGCTGACAGTAGTTCGCTTGTAGACCTTCTATTATTTGCATGCCAATGCCACACATTTGACATCTTTCCTGTAAAAGGAGCTACGGGCACCAGTCCTTAGTTGTCTACAACTTTCGACTTAACCCCAACCATCCACTCAATACTTTCACTACTCACCCCGCCAATTCAGAGTGCAAACTTTTTTCGATTTAAATAAAAAGTCAGCACTGCGACAACACTTTGAACTTTGATAGAGGTCTATAAAAAAATGTATAAAAATACATAAAAATATGTCAACACTTTTATAACCATTCTCCACCATAGTCAAAGGTAGCAAAAGGCTTCTTAGTAGCGAATATATTTTTGTCTAACTTTTTTACGACTACATGTTCAGTTTTTTAAAGAAAACAAGCTATCTTAAGTCATAAATTTACAAATTTTATGGACTCACTTCTGATTTTAAATGTTGTAAGGTAGCCTTTTCATAAAAACGGATGTTGAAATATTGGTGGATTTTCTTATTATGTAAGTTCTAAACTTTCACTAGAAAAACCTTTTTTGATAAATATATATTTAAACTATTAATATATTTAACGAAATAAACTTACTTGCACGGTTTTCTTATTTTTTAATTTATTTTAAAGTCATTGGCTTATTTAAATATATTGTCTTTATTTTAATGCATTTTCCCGGCCATTTTCCTTAGCCTCAATCTTTTTTACTTCCCCGCTGAAAATGTTTCAGGAAAAGCAGCTGCCGAACCGGCGGCGGTTTAAACATTTTTAATTAATTTACATGACAGCAGCTGCTTGGCATGTGATGCACGTAAGATGCGTGGGCGCATTTTCCACGCCGGAAAAGTGGGCGTGACGGTGGGATTCGTGGGGCGGTTGGAAATTAAGCGGTGGAAGGGGGAAAACTGTTGCAGAGGTGCAGATGGAATTAAAATTGTAGCGAAATACTTTTGGTTGCAGCTGCAGCAGCAACTACAGTTAATCAAATGTGAAATGACATGGAACACACTGGGAACAACACACTGAGAAAAGGGGGCGAAAAAAGGGGGCGTGGCACATAAATCAGAGCAGACGCGCCCACATTCACCCCCAGCTACCAATTCGCACTTAATTGCTTAAACAAAAGCGACGCCTTTTCCTTTTTCCACCGCACTATTGAGCAATTATGCAGTCGGAAAAACAGTGACTCCGAAAAATAAGCTACACAGAAAAAAAAGAAAGCCTGGATTAAAAACTAAGGGTAAAAATATGATTACACTTTAAAAAAAATTAAAATAACCTATCACATAATGCACATTAACAATTATAATCAGAATTTAAATTTTTTTATTGAATATAGAAATGTATTAAAATATATTCCTTCGGAAATTCATTAATATTCACCCACTTTTTTTCCCCTGCATACCAAATTAACCAAACTTTTTAGGCAAGATGGGGGAAGTGAACAGAAAGCCAAACGAAACGTGGCAAATGCGTTAATATATTCAAGGAGGCCTCATCATCAGCGTCGTCAACGTTTTGTGTTAGCCATATAATTTATGCGCGTTTTAATTTCATTTGGTGCCTAACAAGTGCCACGCCCACCTCAGGACCTCTCAGACGGTAGAAGGCGGTGGAAATAGGGTAATGAAATCGTAGAAAGGGGAGAATATGTTATTTTGACACCTTCAAGGTTGCGCCCTTCTCAGACAACTTCCGACGATTCCTTTGGGGGTCTAAAATTTAGGGGGTTTTTAGAGGAAAATGTCAAGGAATCACGAAACGATTGGGAACGTCTAATCAACCTAGAGAATTGAAGAAAGTTGGAAATAGCGACGCACTTTCAAATGTATTATGATATAGATTTAAAAAAATGTTTTTTAGATTTCAGTGTACTTTTTCTGATATGTTTTCTTTTCTAGTACAGATTTGGTAAAGATAAGATTATGCTATTTCTCCGAAATCTTTGTTAAAAGTCTGACCGAAGTATTAAAACATATTTATATTTTTGTTATATACAATTTAATTCAATAAAAACAATTCATTCAAAAATTCCCACACTTATTTCATTGTCTAAATCAAATTACGGTTGAATTTCTTTCAAAATCGTTCAATTCAAGTAGCGATAATATTTTTGATAAGATTACTTTAAATTGTGAAACGGTTCTTCTATCTACAAAGAGCTTAATTAAAGCCAAGTTGCTTTTTAAATTATGTTTCTTTTGTTTAATATTCGGAAATTAATTACCTTAAAAATAATCAATATATTTTATAAATAATTTGTATTAGTCACAAAAGCTTTTTTCTCATCAAATCTTAAACGGCTGTAGTCAAAGGTAATTACACAACCTCAAGCAGTCCAAGGAACGATAAGTAAAATAAATAAATCATTCATCGATAAGGGTAATTATAAATGGCAATGTTTTAAGATCGGTCTCTCAGTCTGAAAAAAACAGCGGTCTAGCCATGTTGCTTTTCGGAATATTCTGCTGCCTGTTGATTTTAAGTTCCTCAGCGGGTCAAAATGAAAGGGAAGTGTGTACTCTTCTCTCTGTTTGCGATAATATTGCAGACCTAAAATCTGAGATGGCAACTGTGCGGTAAATACTCAAGTTGTTTTTAGTAATTGGTACCAAGTATATACGGTTTATATTTTAAACAAAATGGCAGGGAAATTGTGGAAGACTTGGACAAAAAATTCGAGCAGGAGAAAAAATACCCAGAAAGCTGCGCTGATTCAGCGAAGAGTAAGTTACTGATCCGCTTGCCCGAGTACAGAGAATTCCCCTTCGAGGTGTCCTGCGATCAGCACAACTACGGAGGAGGTTGGACTGTATTGATGCGACGAGCCGACGGAAGCGAAGATTTTTACCGCGATTGGAAGGACTACAAGTACGGATTTGGTCAGTTAAATAATGAGTTCTTCCTGGGACTGGAGCTATTTCATGCGCTGACCTATTCGGAACCCCAGGAGCTAATGGTTGTCCTGGAGGACTACGATGGAAATAAACGCTACCAGCACTACGACAACTTCAAAATCGGACCAGAGAGTAATAATTACACCCTGGAATCGGTGGGATCTTCTTATGGAGACGCGGGAGACTCATTTGAACATCATATCGGTATGCAGTTTAGTACTAAGGATCGCAAGAACGACATCGATTCAACGAGGGTATGTGCAGTTGTATTTAGAGGCGCTTGGTGGTACTTTCGTTGCCATATAAGGTAATTATTCCTTCTACTAAAGTAATATTTTTAAATATACAAGTCTATATATTTTTCTTTTTTCAGTGCTTTGACCGGTGTCTATGGCGATAGTTCCTATGGACAGGGAGTACTTTGGTCAACATCGCATGGGTTTTATTACTCACTCAAAAGTGCGGCAATGATGATAAGACCGAAATCGTATTCTCCCAAGTGAACTTATTATTTTTTTAACTTTTAATTTAATCAGTTAGATATGTCTACTCGATGATAATGACAATATAGATAATAATAATAATAGTTGAAATATAAAAATACACTTGATCACCAAGGAATATATTTTTTTCGCAACGTAAAAAAACTATAAAAAATTTACAATGGTGGAAATCACTGAATGATTTACGATTAATTATACCCGTTACTCGTAGAGTAAAAGGGTATATTAGATTCGTGCAAAAGTATTTAACAGCTAGAAGGAAGCGTTTCCGACCCCATAAAGTATATATATTCTTGATCAGGGGCACTAGCCGAGTCGATCTAGCCATGTCCGTCTGTCCGTCTGTATGAACGCTGAGATCTCAGAAACTACAAAAGCTAGTAGGTTGAGATTTCCCACACATATTCTTTGGCTTCCTACGCAGCGCAAGTTTATTTTAGCCGAGCGCCACGCCCCTTCTAACGCCCACAATCGCCCACTAACGATTTTAAAATGGGTCCTGCGCCCACATCTTTAAAGATTTCCGAGAAGTATAAATGCAATTTTGTTGTGTATATTTATACCTATCGAAATGTAGAAGACATTTTTCAAATCGGACCATTCATTAAAAAGTTATACGCAATCAAAATTTATATATCTATCTCCCTCGCACTCCCTTTAGCTGAGTGACGGGTATTAGATACTCGGGATAGTCTCTTGTTTTAATTTTCGCAATGGGACGCTAATGATAAGATAAGTAAAAAGACTAATTTTTCGATAAGGTTTATTTAAAAAGACAATTAATTAAGATCGGTTCCTCAGTCTGGAAAAAACGGCAGTGTAACCATGTTGCTTTTTGGAATATTCTTCTGCGTGTTGGTTTTAAACTCTTTAGCCAGTCAAAATGACGGCGAAGTGTGTACTCTTTTGTCAGTTTGCAATAATATTGCAGACGTGAAATCAGAGGTTGCAGCTGTGCGGTAAATAATTTAAAATAATGCCAAGCTTTTCAAGAAATTAGCTTTAAAATAAAATAACAGAGACATTTTGGAGGACTTGGGTAAAAAACTCGACCAGGAGAAAAAATACCCTGAAAGCTGCGCTAATTCAACGAAGAGTAAGCTGCTGATCCGCTTGCCCGAGTACAGTGAATTCCCCTTCGAGGTGTCCTGCGATCAGCATAACTACGGCGGAGGTTGGACTGTATTGATGCGACGAAGCGATGGAAGCGAGGACTTTTACCGCAATTGGAAGGACTACAAGTACGGATTTGGCGACTTGAACAATGAGTTCTTCCTCGGACTGGAGCTATTTCATGCGCTGACCTATTCGGAACCCCAGGAACTGATGGTTGTCCTCGAGGATCACGAAGGAGAAATTCGCTACCAGCATTACGATAACTTTAGAGTCGGACCATGGACCAACATCTACACCTTGGAATCGGTGGGATCATCTTATGGAGACGCCGGTGATTCACTTCACGCTCAATTGGGGATGAAGTTTAGTACTAAGGATCGCAAGAATGACATCGATAAAGAAAAGAATTGTGCAGTTCATTATAAAGGAGCTTGGTGGTACTATTTCTGCCATGAAAGGTAAATATTTCCTCTGAAATATTTAAAAGTCGAATATTAATTGTTTTATTATTTTATTCATACCCGATTTTCAGCGCTTTGACTGGTGTATATGGCGATAATTCCTTTGGACAGGGTGTACTTTGGTCAACATGGCATGGCTTTAACTACTCACTCAAAAAGGCCGTAATGATGATAAGGCCGAGAGGGTATGCTAAGTATCCGATTGTATGAAATGCCAACCAATATTGTTTGTTGAATTAAAAGTCTTAATAGCCACAAAATATAAATTTTATAAAAATATATTGAATACCAAATGTTCACCCTTAAAAAACATTTCAAGTGAAAAAGTCACATAAGAATTTTAATCGATTGTCGGAATGAAAAATATATTATACTTAAGAATGTAAGTACCTATATGTACATATTTCTTTAGTATCGTTATGATAACAATAAAAACTTTATAATGGGAGCACATAAATTACTTTTCAAGAATCGTATTCATTTTGCGATTTCGAATACTATTTTTTGATAATGCATGCAGGAAATAATATGTTTATTTTAGAAATATTATGATCTTTGAATGATAAAATACATAAAATCCTGAAATATATGCAATCAAAAGTAGAGTATTTCCCCTTCGCATTTTGTGCCGAATATCACCTCGATTTGTTATCCTTAACACCAAATCCTTTTTGCATATTGTTTTGTTATTCTTGCACCCCCGTTTTCATTATTTAACACATTTCAAAATTCACAATTCAAAACGTGTTAATTAGCAGGCGGCGAAAAGGGGCGGAAGTCGGGGGTGGGTTGGGTCTTCTTTCTTTCCGCAAATGTGTTAATGACTGAGTGGGATGGGCCACGCCCCCTTCGCGACTTTAATTTCCGTGCCGCCTTCTTGAGTTTTGGATGTCAATAAAATTAGCATTCGCCTTTGTTTTTGTTTTGCTGTCGCAAAAATTAAACTGTTTCGAGGGCGTGGCCACATTACGCAACTAAATATTCATGCGAACGAAATTCCAAAAGGCCTCGTTTCCATTTCCCGACTTTTCCTTTCAGGCCTCGCCTCAATTGACTTTGCCTTGAGCAAAAGGAAAACTCTTTCTCGACCCCCGGGAGCAGACATAACTATCAAATTACCCAAGGATATGTGTTCTCGGGGAGGAAGTCATAAAAGCACCAATTCTTGACGGGTAGCGAAGTTTAGACATCTGAAGAGCTAGCTGTTAAATATTTTATTGTAATTAAAACGCGAAATTTCTCCCCAAGCGAACAGTGTGAAATTTGAAGGCAGATGTTAAAGGCCACATAAAATAAATAAAACAAGTAAAAAAGCGAGGGTAATAAATAAAATAACTCGAAAATAAAAACGCAATTTTGTATTAAATATAAATATGTATGAACCAATTCTATAATATTTAAAAAATATTTAAATTACAAATTGTAGCTAAAAGATCTTTAAAATATGTAATAAAAAAATACAATTTTAATTAATGATTAAAAATAAATATTGCAATTATTTTTCAAAATAGTCCCATCTAATATTATTATTAAAAAGTTTATAAATTTTCAAAAGCAAATTCCGCTCACTTGGCCTCTTCTTTAAAACCCCTTTTAATACTCATTCCCCACCCCTTTTCATTTTGCCATTTTCATTGTGAAAATGCAGCATGGAAAAAGGAAAATGCCTTAACAAACATGCCTTTTGTTCTCTCGGGCTGATTTACAGCCGCAAGTTTAGCCCGCTTCTTAACCCTTGTGCGGCCCCTGTGCCCCCTTTTCCCACCCGTTGTTAGGCAGTTAACATTTGCTTGATGCACTCCTTAACACTTTGTTGCCGTTAATTATGCAACAGCCCCCGTCTGCTGATGTTTTTCCTGCTGCTCGGATTTTTCCTCCGGCCTTTCCTGATTTTACTCGCTTTCCCCGCTTTCCTCAGTTTCCTGCCATCTGCAGGCTGGCAGAACTGGCAAAAACTAAATGGAAACTGTCAAATGAACCGCAATTGTAATTGTGTTCACAGAGTTTACTCTTCGGCTTGTTTTGCCTAAAAACTCTCTCTCGGCTACGAAATGATGTGTGCCATGGCGAAAACTTTCACCTGTTAATGACGTGGCACACGGCACGTAGAAATGCACAGAAAAAGAAAACATAATCAGACGATTTTATATATTTATTTATACTATTTAGACCAGATACTATAGGTAGGTTAATAAATTGTATTTTATATCAATAAATTAACATGGTTATATTTAAATGTTAAATAAAATAAGAAAATAAATAAAATAAGGATTAATATTAATAATATTATTTTCTTGATATTATTAATACAAGATTTTTTGCCAGTATAGAGATAGAGACAACAAATGCAACAAACTGCCAGCCACCAAATCTGCAGCCAAATCCTTAGCCAAATCCTCAGCCAACTGCATTTTGTCGTGTGCTGCTGTTTGTTTTTGTGCGAAACTTTCTCGAGAAAAATTCGGTGAACAACTAAAACTTTAATTAAAAGGGGAAAATGTATTATTAAAACCAGAAATAAAAAACAAAGCAAATGGATCACTAAAGTGAGAGAGGGATGTCAAAGGTGAAAATTCTCTGGAAATGGAGAAGAAATTAAGGATTAATCGATTGGTTGGGAAACCTAGAATTAAAATATATATCTTTTGAATTAATTTCTTTGAAAATGTTTTAAAAAATGTATTAAATGTATTAAAAATAATTAATATTAAAAATGTCTCTAAGAAAGTTAAATTTATAAATTCCATTTTTTAAATGTTGAAAATATAAATATTTTATATTTTTTAAATAAAAGAATACTACTATTGTTGATTTCTCATACGTTTTTTGAGCTAAGTAACATTTCAGGTGACACACCTTTAAGGGGGTTTCCTTTCGCTGAAGGGACATCACCATTTATAGATCCCCTGCACGAACACACGATGCAGTTGCAATGGGCATTTATTCAACTGTAAATCAATAAATTTTAATTAAAATTGCAGCCATACGCAGTGACCCAACGACCCAATCAGCCAGGCCAATTGTCCTGTCCTCTCTTTTTGTTACCCTCGTCCCGACTCTTTCTACCGCTCCCCCTTTTCCCGTTGCACGGATGTTTCTGTCTCACTCGCTGATAAATGAAACATCAAAATTTTCGATGGGCTGCGTTTAACTAAAATTTTCGCATCCAAAAGCTCATAATGTGAATTTCCGTTTCCGCTAAGCGTCGTTCAGCATATAATTTGACATTTGACAAGGTCAAACCCGCCACCCCCTCCCCTACCAACCCTTTTGGCGCCCATCCCTTGATAATTTCGTTATGCATTTCGATTTTGGCAATTGCCAAATTGTGATTTTCGATTTGTAGATGGCGAATTTCGATTCGGTATTCGTGATTTGTGTGTTTGGCGTTTCGGTTGTTCGGGGCAAAACAATATTACGCATACGACATGATGGCCCGTCCACTTTCTACCCCCTTTTTCGATGCCGCTAGCGATGAAACCACCATCAGGAACATGAGTATTTCCTTTTCAACATTTTTGAGATTAATCTGCGCCGAATGAAACTTTGTTATATGTGGTTTATTCGGGAATTTAAGGGTATATTCCGATTTTTAGCAGCTAGGCTTATATTATTATTTATTTTAGTATCTTCAGGGAAAATATATCTTTGTGCAATCGATGTAACATGGATAAACACTATACCTGATGATGAAATAAGTTTATTTAGAAGAATACGACTTTGGCCTTATCATCATTACGGCACCTTTGAGTGAGTAATAAAACCCATGCGATGTTGACCAAAGTACTCCCTGTCCATACACTCATAGAAATTTTTACCCTAAATCGCCCTAAAAAACTGACTTTTCGCCCGTGGATTTAGAAAATCGCCCATAAATCGTATCCGCTGGCGATTCGCCCGTGTATTTAGAAAAATTTTCTAAAAAATCCCGATGGAAATTTGGTTTAATTTAGGGTGATTTTTCTTGAAATAAGAAATATTTTCCTGTTTTTAGGGTGATTTGCCCTAATTTTAAGGTGTATTTTTCTAAAATTAAGGGCGAATTTTCTGTTTTTATAGGCAAATGCCCTAAAAAAATTAGACAAATTAAAAAAATCGTGTTTGAGCATGCTTAACTGAATTTGGGAAGCATGTTTTTTTTTAATCGTCTATATTCTGGGAACTGGGACTGCTTTAATTAAACAACACCGGCGGAGGACACCGTTTCATATTATTGTATTGGTGTGTAGCTTATATGGGAGCTGCGTTGAGAGGGGGGGCCCGATCTATACAACACAGCCGTTAGAACTGAAAAATCATGTTTGTTAACGAATTAGGGAAATAAATATGAGGAGAAAAAACAACTTACTTTTTTTGGTCGTTGCGAGAATCGAACCCACGACCTCTCGGTTTAGAGTCTAGCGTCCTACCGCTGCACTACAGACCCATCGCGCAAGACGACGAACAAACTCTGCACACATCTTATTTTCTTGAGGTCTACGTTATAATATGACTAAAGGCAACTAAACCGTATATTTTTTTCCTGACGACTGTGACAATTAGTCCCGTTTTCTTGCCCGCAAACACAAAGTATGCTTTTAACTCAGAACTCCCATACGTTTTTAAGGTTCAAAGACTACTTTAATTTAAAATTCGGACGAAAAAATGTCCTCAGTATTTTAATGTTTACAAAAAAAAAAAAAAAAAATAAAAATCAAGTTGAATCACACAGGGTTCGAACCCACAACCCCACGACCTTAGTCCTCATATAGCAAAGTTGAAAGCGCAAGTGATTAGACCGCTGGGCTACCGAATTTCACACTTTTGGAGTGATTTTTAAGGCGAATCGCCCTTGTATTTAGAAAAATTTTAGAAAAAAAATTAGGGCAATTCGCCGTTGGATTTAGAAAAGGTCAAAACGAAGCAAATCGAAAAAAATCGCCCTAAATATTAGAAAAATAGAAAAATTAACCCTAAAAATATTTTTTTATGGTCACCTGCCTTAAATTTATGGCAAATTTGTCGTGAAAATAGAAAATTTTTCTCAGTTCAAAGGCGAAAAATTTTTTAGGGCGATTTTCTAAAATGTAGAAAATTATTTTTATGAGTGTAAGAACTATCGCCATAAACACCGGTCAAACCACTGAGAAATTAAAAATATTAAGACTAGTATATATAAAATCTAACTTTATGCCTAGTACTCACTTCAATCAAATAGCCTACGAAATGAAAATCTCCATACAAAATTTTGATCACGAAATTTTTCGCCTGTCATTTCTGTATAGAATATTTCGTTTCGTTGCCTTTTTGATTGTAGTGAGTACTAGGCCTTAGAAGGAATAATTACCTTAAATGGCAACGATAGTACCACCAAGCGCCTTTAAATACAACTGCACAATCCCTTGTTGAATCGATGTCGTTCTTGCGATCCTTAGTACTAAACTGCATGCCGATATGATATACAAATGAGTCTCCTGCGTCTCCAGAAGAAGTTCCCACCGATTCCAGGGTGTAGTTATTACGCTCTGGTCCGATTCTAAAGTTATCATAATGCTGGTAGCGTTTGTTTCCTTCGTAGTCCTCCAGGACAACCATCAGTTCCTGGGGCTCCGAATAGGTCAGCGCATGAAATAGCTCCAGTCCCAGGAAGAACTCATTCTTTAACTGACCAAATCCATACTTGTAGTCCTTCCAATCGCGGTAAAAATCCTCGCTTCCATCGGCTCGTCGCATTAATACAGTCCAACCTCCGCCGTAGTTATGCTGATCGCAGGACACCTCGAAGGGGAATTCACTGTACTCGGGCAAGCGGATCAGCAGATTACCCTTCGTGGAATCAGCACAGCTTTCTGGGTAATTTTTCTGCTGCTCCACCAAAATTTCACTGCCATTTTATTTCAAGTATAGATCGTTAAATCTGGGTATTATTTTAATGACCTTAAAAATTTACCGCACAGTTTCCATCTCAGATTTTAAGTCAGCAATATTGTCACAAACGGATAGGAGAGTGCAAACATTTCTTTCGTTTTGACTGGCTGAAGAATTATAAACCAACAGACAGAAGAATATTCCGGAAATCCACATGTTTTCGCTTGACCTCTATTTTGACTGAAGAAATACTAAGAACTACGTCCCGTTATATAGTAATCGCAAACGTTTCATTTCTTATCGCATACTCATTATAGAAAATATACGATAGGCTTTATCAATGCAGTACTACTTCAAAATTTTCTTCGCAGTACAAATATACAGTTAAGGGGTATCTAATAGTCGAGGCACTCGACTTGCTATTAAATACTATTCAGCTTTTTGCCGTTTGAAATGTTTCTTGGCTCTGTTGTTTTAGTTGTTTTCTTGTCATTTCGGATTTTCGGGTTTTATGTTTTTCAGTTTCCGCATAATTTATCGTCAAATTATTGAGCTAATGAAGTGAGTTTTTCGTGCTGTTCGCTCTTTGCTATTTCAGTTTTGCTTTTCGAGATTATTTCGAATTTATGCAGGAATGAAATGCATATGAGTATCCAGTTCCCTTCCTCGATTTGCCCATAAATCTAGCCACGAATAGCGTTATAACGTATAAGTACACACATGTACGAACATATATCGAAACACCCTTGTGTCGGCAACAAATCATCCAAATGCGAGGAGGTTGCTTGAGGTGTTTCGATTGAGATTTGAGTGGCGATTGAGAGTGTGGTCGGGAAATGTAAATGGGTCCTTGATTGTGGCAACTTGAGCTGCAGATAGTGTAGTGGAGGCCCCCTTAAACTTGAAGAGTAACCCAAAAAGCAAGTGGTGAAGTAGATTTAAAGATGTCGAAAAATATGCCTTTGTTATCGACTGTTTCAAAGAAATCAAATCAGGTTCTCATGAAAATAATAGAGCAAAGATTTTCTGTCTATGCCTAATTTTTATAATTATGTACAAAAAATATAATTTTAAATATTTTTAGGTTCCCACTTGTGAACGGTTTTTTGGAAAATTTTATAAACAAAAGATATTCTTCTTTGGAAAATAATAAAAAAGTATTATCAATATATATATGCACTTTCTAAAAATAAATTTAAAAAAACCTTTATTAATCATTTTTAATTATAATTTAAACGATTTTTCGAGTACATTAAGTTTGTTTTTTTAATTGTTATTTACACAAATATAGTTTTTAATAACTTTAAACTGCCATTTCGTTTACAAAAACTGTAAGAGCCAAATATTACAGCAAAATATTAAAATTTTTGTATAAGTTAGTAAATGCATATTTAATTTCAATGTGGCTTTTTAATATATATTAAAATATAATTTTAAATAACTTTAAACGCCCATCTCGTTTACAAAAAACTGTTAGAAGAGGCATTGCTGCTCATAACCAGGCAAACTTTTCCCCAGACACACACACACATGGGGAAATTTTCAGTGACGAATTGTAATACAAATGAGCCAAAACAGGAGAGGGCCAAACCCCCAAAGACCCCTACTTGCCACCGCCCATGGTTTTCCCTGTTTCCCGGCACGTCGTTTAGTGCAACAACTTAATTTGCATATCAGCGCCGCCAAATTGCAAGCGGCATGCAATGAAAATGGAAAATTGTTTTGCAGGCTGTGGAAAACTCATGCGCATGCAAAGGCGAACACACTTCATCAATTTGCCAATAAACTTGTGAGTACTTGGCGCAATAGTTGCCAACATTTCAATCAGGCCAAACACTCAGCTAGGGTTTTGATTTTCCCCACTGCCATATTCCTTCGAATGTTCCCCAGCATTTTCTCCGCCAAACCAACCAACCCACCCACACACATACTACTTACTTGTGCGAACTTTTTGAGTCAGCGCAAAAATTTTATGCACATGGCATAAAATCGAAATCAAAGTTGTTGCTGATTTGGCGCAAAATTAACAGGCAAAGCAGGCGCTTAGCTGTCAGCTCCTCAGAATTTTCCTCTATTTTCCCACCACCGCCACTACACATTTTCCGATTTTCGCCCTAGCAGGACCTTCGTCCTTTTCATTGGGGCAATTAAAGCGAGGAACCACTGGTCTTGAGGAGGCCTTCAGTCGCGCGTCTTGTCTCAAATTAAATTTGCATTTCAAATTCCCCATTTTGTTGACATCCGGGAAACGAATGGCAGTTCCTCCGTGGCGGGGAGTTTCGCAAATCAAAGCGTTTAGTTTAGACAAATCCCGGGGAGGGAAAATATCTGGGCAGCAAAAAAAAAAAGGAAAATAAAAGGAAAACACGGAACTTGAATGAGCAGGTGCTTGCCTGCATATAAATCAAAATAATTTCGTCTGGCGGCTGTAATTTCACAAGGGGAGAAATGGGCCCGGAAAATATGTACACTGGGGAAAAAAGGGTCAAGTTGTGAATTGTTCAGTCTTTGCGAAAAAAAAACATATAGAAATTTAAATCTTCCATTGCTAACAAAAATGTAATGAATTTGTTTATTATTAAATATATTTTAAATATTTTGGTAAATATTTAAAATCATTGAAAATGCGTTTTAAACATACTCAATCTCTTACAGAATTAAAAAAAATTCTTGATTATTTTAATTTGAAATACACACTATATTTATTTATTCGAAATAAACAAAACTAATTTATATAGATTTTATACGTTCAAAGTAAACAATATAGAGCTCTTTAGGCGTGTGAACTAAATTTTTTTAGCACATGATAAATATTGAGCAAATTTTTAGGTTTTTCTAATTCTTAGATACTTATAATTCGAAGACTATATAAGCAAACATTCTTGAGGGGCTCTTCGAAAGTAGGCGAATAATTGAAAAATCAGTTCATCGGCAACATTTGCCTTTCGCAGTTCTTGGTTCGCAAAATGTTGAAACTCGAAATATATTATATTTTCCTTGCCTTTCTGCATGGAATAGTAAAGTCCCAAGATAATATCTCCAGTTACCGTGATCAGTTACACGATCAAGATAGAAATTTAAATTTAAAACTCACGTTTATGGAGACTAAAATAGAGGAAATTCTGGCAAAGCTGAACAAAATTGAAAGTGAAAATCGGATATATAAGGAAGTAACTCAAAAAAGCGAAAATTGTTTATTAACTGATGCCGCCAGTCAGTGCTCAGCCTTCTGTCTTGCCGCACTTAATCCATTAATCGACGATATTGCCAATATAAGTCAAGAAATGCTTAATCAATCGGTTCTACTAAAAGACACTGAGACTAAACAAGAAGAAATTCTGGAAAAGCTGAAAAATATTAAAAATGAAATTCGGATAGTTCAGGAAGTAACTCAAGAAATGAAAAATCAATCTGTTCTGCTAAATGACACACAGTTAAATGTTAGTAATTTTAAAAAAGAAATCCAAGAAATGCAAAAAGAAAAGGAAGAAACTGATTTGCTGGCAATAACACTAAATGGAACACTGGGTCTACAAAACAAAACACAATCAAATAATGATGATGATATCCCTTCAGGATTTAAGAAAATTGGAAAAAGATATTTTCATATCTCAAAGGACCAGAAAAATTGGACTGATGCTGCTATCGCATGTCGACAGAAAGGAGGATATCTAGCAGTCTTTCAAGATCTCGAAGATCTGTATGCCCTTAAACCTAAACTGAGGGATACGGCTGCCGAATTTTGGTTGGGTATTTACAACCGGGATCAAAAGGGCGAATATATATCAGTGGCCACCGAGGAGCGAGCACCATTTCTGCTCTGGGATCTAACAAACTTCTATCCGTCCGAACAAGATTGTGTTGACCTATACAAGTGGCATATGTAGCCTTTTCCGTGCTCTGAAACAATTCGTTATAATTGCCAATTGGACACTTAAGTTTGAAAAGGACAAGTAATCTTAAAATCTGTCAAAATATCTGTTATTTAAAATCTAGTTTTCGCCGTTTTTTAATACAATTTTTTTTTTAAGAATTCCCTTATATATATTTATTTAAATATTTAAATAATATATTAAATGCTTAAAACGACAAATACAAAAAATAACTAAAAATAAAAAATATTATTATTAATAAATTAATCGTATGTTTTAGATAATTTAGTTTTTTTTCCTAAGTTCCATTTTTGTTACAATAATTAATCTTATACAACTATCAAGTATTATAATAAAAAAAAAATCGCTTACGCACACGCACCACTTTTTTCCTTTTAATGATAAACAAATGAGGTTGGCCATAAAATTTTACTGTTTGTTGTCTATGTATTTTGTATCTCTTGAAAAGTCCGAAAATAAATAAAAAATGACTTAATTGGCAACATTTGCAACTACGAAATGTTGTACGCTTTTAAAATTTTCGAGCTTAAAATTTTGTATGCACTTCTGATACAAATGTTATTTGATAATTAGACATTAAGGTTTAAAACTTGAAAATAACATATTTAAAACGATATACTGTCAAGTTCACATTGTATTAAAAATACAAGAATTACACATACAACCCCCAATTTTTTTTCAGTGTTAGAAGTCCATCAAAACAGGGGCAAATCATGAAAAGGACAAATGAAGTGAAATTTAAATGATTGCATACTCGGAGGCGTTTGTTGAACCACTTATTTTCACCTAATTGCACACTCGAGTGGACAGACGATGCTTTTTCCACTTGGCTGGCTGGCCAAAAATCGGTGGGCGTAGTCGAGGGAAACCCCAAGTGGGGGCGTGGCCCAGAGTTGGTCACTTTGTGTTACGCAACAAAGTCACACAAAATATTTGCCAAACATTTTGTGCTCATGATTTTATCCTTCCGATTTTTATGGGTGTCTCCCGTTCCCCCTCGGAAATGTTTAACCAATATTTTGGGACAATATTTGTTGCGACAATAAGGAAAAAGCAATTATAAAGTGGCACCAGATAGTGAAAGCCGGAAATTGTCTAGGGTGTCAAAGGGGCCAAGAGAAATGTGAATATATATGTGGTATTTTTTTTAGGGGTGGTTTTAAGGGGATTTTCAAACCGCAGGCAGCTCATTAAAGGCACAACTTTTCACTCTCTTAATTCTTGTTTCTTTCGGTTAATTTTTGCGCCCGACGAACAGAAACAAATTTCATGCAAATGGAAATGGAAAATGCAAATTAACAAGTTCCTTAATGGCCTTGGGTGGGAGTGGTGGTGGGTGGTGCACTCCAAAGGCTGTAAAACTGCCAGCAGATTTCAATTAAAAGTTGACAAGAATGCAAGCATCAGTTCTTCTTAAACTGTAAAGTTTGAAGAGAAATTTGAAAAGATGTATAGGCAAATTTACTTTGTTTTTAATATAATTTACAAGATTTTAATTTTCTTTAAAAAAATTTATATTCTTAAATAAATTAAAATATTATTGTTATCTTCTGGAAATCAAATTTTACAAATATTCAATAAAGTACATTTATAATAAAAACTCTTTTTAATTATGTATTATTAAATAACAACTTTTTTTTAGTTTAAACAAAGAAATTGACTTGTTGCCTTTGTAAATTGTAAAAAAATGGCGTTATTATAGAGTAATTTCTAATGCACTTTGTGAACTTTAGCCCTAAATATATTATACTACATGACTTCACTGAAAGCTGCCAAGACCCCCTTACCTTCTCGACTTCAGTTTTACAACTCTATCAATCATAAACTCAGAGCCAATGTCTGAAAACTGTAGCTCAATAAAATGTTCTCGAAAATGTTGCCAGAGAAGGGGGTTCTCCAAAAACACTTTCCAGATACGAGTATTGCCATGACACGTCGACAAAAGCAATGATTCCTTTTGGGTAACCCATTTCTGCACCGCCCCCCGATTTTCCAACTTCCCCGATTTTCCCGCCAACTCTTGTTACGTTACGCGTTTTCCCAGCCGCGCTTGCATGTCATGACATGAGCAGGAAATGCGTTTTCTGACGCCGCCGCTGAAGATGCCTCGTAAAGGAGGTGCTGGTGCACTGAAAGAAAATATGGAAAAAAATGTTTTTTTTTATTTTGGGCTAAATATATGAACAAAAAGTTGGTGGCGATTTTGCGTTTCATTAAAGTCAATTTACACACATAAATGTCTGGATTTTAATAAAACTTTGTCAAAAAGTATGCAACAATAAGATAATGTTCTTTTTTAACTGCATTATTTAGGACACATTTTACGTGATATACGTAGTCTAGTTTAAAAGGTTTTAAATAATAACTTATTTTAATAATTTTTTATACCTATCAATTTATAAAAATAGTTTCTTTCAAATCATAAAAATTTCCAAAGTAGTTTATTTATCATTTTCTTTCACTGTACTTTCACGGGTTGTGGAATTTCGTATAGCTGCTGTTCCTGGTTTCTCGGTTAGGTTTACGGTTACGGTTTTTTGGCTATGCCGTGTGCCTGGTTCCGTTTCTTGTGCACCAAGCGCAGCGCCATAAATATTTAAATTGTGCGACGCCGCCGCCACCGCTAAAAACCACCAGAACCACATTATTCCCAGCACCCCCTTTAGCCACTCCCACTCTGCGCTTCTGCCTGTCTTGCATGTTGCTTGCCGGCTTATTTTTTGACAGTTATCGATTCGAAGGCGCTGCCTCAGTTTCAGCTTCAGATTCAGCTCCCGATTCCAAACCGCAATTTTCTGATTCTGATTCTTGACTCGGAGACGGAGACATTTTATCTTGCCAGGACGCAGGACTCGCTTGCAATTCATTTCCTAAAATATGCATAAGGAGCAGCCAGCGAACAGTTAAAAAATACATGGGAGAAATTTAAGATAGTATAACGAGGCATATAATACTCTTAAAGAAATTGTATAAAATTTAAAATAATACAAGTGCTTTAAATTTTTTAAAGCCAAGTTTTTAATTATATATTACTAGAAATGCAAATAATTTAATAATTTAATTGGTTTAAAATTAAAATAAAATATAACTAAAAATATGAATTATAAAGGTGCTTAAAAGTATGCAACAATTTATGTGGAAATTAGAAAGAAATAAATACCTATTTATTGTCTTAATATCCATTCGAAAGAGTATAATAGCTTAAAGAAGCGGCATCATTACATTGGATACGCGCTGTCAAGCGGCCTGCCACGCCCCGCTCGAGAAACCCCCCACCCACAAAATTCAGTCGATATGTTGCGAGTTATGCGGCACTCATTTCCTTCTTTTGCGGCAGTAGAAAACTTTGCCCGAAACTCGTTTGCCACTTTGTGCATGTTTAACTTTTTAGGCCCACAAACTCTTAACCCTTAACCTCCAACCCCGTGATTAACCCCCTGTCAACCCCTGAACTTTGATCAGAGTGACAAACGAAACCAGACTGCAAATTGCAGCACGAACCACTCAATTAACAAGAAAAGAAGACCCACAGTCTTTGTTATGAAATCGAAAAATTCTGCACTTGTTTGCTCAAGCGATTGAGATTCAAAAAGACTCGAGAGACGTTTTGATTGACCTGCTGAAATTATCCTGTTTTTGCCTTTGCAATGCATTTCATATTTGCCCACGTATTGCCCCTCGAGGCGAAAATCGTGTCTGCAAACTTTGCGTAATAGACGTGCAAATGTTTGCAAAATATTTACAAGCCAAATGAAAATATGCAAAGAAATATTGTAAATTTTTACTGGGGGCTGAAAATTGGATAAATATTTGAGAGAATTAACTGGCTGGACAATATTTTCTCAAGATTAAGTTTGTGTTGATTAGAGTTTAGGAATTATAGAATTTAACCAAGCGCAAATATTTGCACTTCGGTTTATTATCGGGTTTTTTGTGTGTGATATAATAATAATTTTAATTGCTTCAAATTTTATTACTAGAAAAATTAAATAATCATACTTTATTAATAATAATAAATATAAAATATTAAAAAAATTTAAAGATTGTGAAATTTTTCTTGAATTTTGTAATAATTTTGTTTAAAGAGCTCCTATTAACATTTTCACAATTCTTAGTAAGTAAAAAAAAAATCCCCCAAATATACTTACACATTAGCAAAGTCTTAAAAATTGTAGATAAAAAGGTAAATCTCGGGTAGCCTGATAGACAATGAGTCATTAAAGAAAACGTAAAAAAACGCCTGGTGACTAAGGTTTTCGAATTTTTTAAAAGCTTGATAAAATAAATTATATTTTTGTTATTTCTATCGATACGTATCGATACTTTCCGTGGTTAAAGTAAACAATAGTACCCACTGCGTATGAGTAGTTTTTGTGGAGCTTTTTTATGAGGGCTGATATTTAAGTGTTTGATTACTTAGTCTGTCCCACGAGCTAGTCATGCAGTTCAGTTCAGTTACCAGCGATAAGTCGACATAGTTGGACGTACAAGCTAGAGGAATATAGAACCACCATGCCACCACCACCCCACGATCACTGCGGAGGGCCACCACCACATCGCCGTGGGCCCGTGATTAAGGTCCAGATCGCACCACCATGGCCACGTCGTCATCACCGCCCACCACCTCAAGTTGTGGTGGTTCAGCAGCAGCAGCCACCCCCACCACCCCAGCCAGTTGTGGTGGTGCAACAGGCTCCTCCACCACCCTACTACCAGTATCAACCGCCACCACCACCGCCATCCGGAAGCAGCCACTACCACAATCCACAATATTGAGAAGGAACTTTGATCTGTCAAATTATGATGAATTTATTTTAGTTAGCCTTACTGAAAAACTATATGTCCTAAATAAAATATATAGAAATAATATAAAAATTATTATTTTTCTTTCTTTCATTTCCATTTATATCTATAACTTTTTGAGGAGTCCTTATACCTTAAAATATATTGTTTTAGATTTTTGTTTATCACCCTCTGTTGATAAAATAAATGCAAAAGAGATGTTATATAAAAACTAATTTTATTTAATTTATAACACCTGTTTCATTTGTATTTTATAATGGTGCTATAGCACTTTCTCTATTAGCATTTTCCAGCTTTTCCGCACATTTTTCCTATCTGAGAGATAAGAACTTAACCATCGATAAGTCGGAATCAGTTAATATAGTAAACAAAACTGTGAGGCGAAAAGCAAAAGCCGATCGCCTGTAAATGCACAACTGTCCGTTTCGCTGTTATCAGACCATGTCGGATGACTAAGTCACCTTATCTCGGCCTCTAACCACTGGAATATAATTCCCCACAAAACCCTGATTGATGGAGCCCCCCCAAAAATGTTCCGTGTTCCAGTTTGGTTGGTGTTTCCAGTGTTCAACGCGTTGCTGGGTGGTGAGGTTGGTTCGATAGACCGGCTAATCAACTATGCGGTACTATGAGGATCCATGCGGCTATCCTGCTCGCCATCACCATGGTCGTCCAAATATCGAGATTGATGTGGTTCCCGGTTGGGGTGGCGGCTATTATCCGCCGCCGCCTCCGCCTCGGCCCACCGAGGTTGTCTACATGACCAGCACCCCAGCAGCCACCTACATGCCCGGGACCCAGGTGATAGTACAGCAGCAGCAGGCCTATGGATATCCCAACTATCCCCAGCAGCAGTACGAGTATCAGTACCAGCAGTATCCGCAGCAACCCTACCCATACAACAATCAACCCTATCAGCAGTGGTAAAAGATAGACATCTTTAAAAAACTATAATATGTTCCAAATTCACTACAAGTTCACTAACAAATAAAATATATTTTATCGATAAAGTGTAACCGAGCGCTAGATAACAAGAAAACAACACAAATATCTCTTTGTCTTAATCTTAAGTTTTTGAAATGACAACAAAAAGTGGTGCAATAATACAGATAGTGGTTCCATTGATATGAAAGACAATACATGCCAATACGGTAAAAAGTTATAAATAAAATCCAAGGAATTTGGCTGAGAAAAGGTGACGGAATTTATTATCAAAATATTGTAATTTTCTATTATCTATTGGAAATATTTCAAACTATTGTATCTATTAAAATGCAATTTATTAAAATGAAATAAATATAATCTCTTGCCTTTAAACTGAAAAGTACATTTTGTTTAATGAAAAAACAAATTTCAGGAAAATCGTAGAATTACACTGTGCGGCATCAAAAATTTACCTCGATGGATGCTATATTTCTGGATTCGTTACGAATTCCCAAGTTTAACTGCATTTTCCAAAAAGTTCCCCGACGGAAGGATTCTTAGCAAAAGGACCTCAAAGTTCGAAAAATGCTGAAATTGGCCGACTTTCCGGAGCTCTCAGAGGCAAACGGATTCAAGGTTTGATTCGATGTTAAAGGTTTTTCAAAGATACACTCTTTATCTTTTAAGCCCCATACTTAGAAAAATGTTAGGATTTTTTTTAAGGGAGAAACAAGTTTTAGAAAACATAGTAATACATCATAAAAGTATACAGCTGCGGTCAAAATAATAGTAGTGTTGCCGCCCTGCGCTTTTAAAAGTTTGTTGAGTTATCTTCTTTTTATGCAATATTACTTTATATTTTGTATATAAAATAATTTTAAAATTGCACAGTAATAATTTTGTATGAATCATCATTTCACCAATTTCAAATTTGTGTCCTTCCCCTTCAAAAAAAAATGAATCATAGAAACCTTGAACTCCCTAATGAAATTCAGACGAAAAAACAAAGTCAATTTGACTACTCATTGGAATTTTGTTTTTATCAGTTTATGTTTATCAATATATTTATTTTTATCGTGGAAGACATTAATGCCACCTGACAAGATAGTAAACTAAGCTACTGTTTGGGAAGGAAGGTACATAACGAAATTAGAAAAAAATTCCCCCCAATTAGCGATAAAAATGGCCTTAAATAGTTAAGCAGGTGAAGAAGTAGATTCAGTTCGACAAAACAGCCCAAGGCAGCACCACTACAGTTCAGAGGATAATATTTGGATAGAAATAATGCCCTACTACGAGGAGGAACGACGCCATCACCACCATCATCATCATGGTGGAAGGCCCATTGTGGAGGTGGACATTGTGCCGCCGAGGATCCCGCGTCCTGTGATCGAGATCGGATTGGGCGGTGGTCGCTATCCCCCACCGCCACCCATGGTGGAGGTCATCACCCCAGCTGCCGTCTACCAGCCCCCACCGCCACGCCCCATTATCGAGGTCGATGTGGTGCCACCTAGCCGCCCCTTCATCGAGTTCAACATCGGCGGTCGCCGTCCGCCGCCCAGGGAGGAGGTCATCATCGTCCAGCAGCCTCCACCGCCCAGGTGGTAGGAGAGGCCCTCTTTTGGAGCAGCTAAATAGTGTGAACAGCTTAAAATACTACTTTAAATTCCCTGAATAAATATTAGATTTTATCCTTAATATTTTTGAAAATAAAAACAAATACATTTTACATATAAAATAATTACCAGGATGAATTCATCACTTAAAAAGTCATTCCTTGAAGTCAAAAAATGTTTGTAGGTACAATTAAATAAAATACTGTTCACGCTCTCAAGATGGCATTTTATTTATTTTATGAAATATTTAACTAACAAAATATATACTTTATAATTATTCGGTTTATTATATTTTAATAAATACATATCAGATGCTGATTTAATTTCTCTTAATCTTCTCCTCTTGAGAGGCCTATGTAATTTTAAACCCGCTCGAAATGTTTGCTTAAATACCTTAAATGCACTTTGTTTTAATTGAAATATACATGATTGGTTTTCAATGTCGTTTCTTGCTGTGACACATTTTCATATGGTGAATAAATTCGCATATATGTACCTGCATTTATTCGCAATGTTAATGGTAGAAATATGAAAATTTAACTGCTGGCGAATGCCATAAACAATGGTCAAGGCAAAAACGTCCCTCTCTTCTCTCTCTATTATCTGTACACATGATTGTTTTCGTATATATATTTTTTTGTTTCGAATTTGGCTTTGGTTGCTATCTGACTTGGCCGGAATGATTGATGTCCCTTTGGGCAGAGTCTGCTTATCAATTAGTGTACAACTAGGCTTGTCGGTACATAAATATTTTTTAACTTTAATAAAATGAACACTTGGAAATGACACTTGCTTACGCTTCACTTTGTTTTTAGCTTTCTTGAGATATTTATTATTGGGAAAAAACATTTTTGTTTTTATTTATTTATTTTTTCTTTTTTAAGAACAAATTGTTTAAAAAAGAAATGAGTGCAAAAAACTATAAATGATTCTTAGTTCTTAATGTAGTCCAAAGACTTATTAATAATAATTGTAATTTATTACTCGAACAGCATTACGTTTCTAAGTACTTTTTTAATATATTAAATATGACTACTTAATTTGGGGCAACCCCTTTGAGAAGAAGACTCCAGTGAATCACCCAACAACAAACAAATTAACCGTGCACCAGAATAAATGAATCACGACCACTTGACCCGTGCAGTGATAACAAAATCAGAGTACATCCTTATCGCAATCAAACTAATTCTATACAAAATGGTATAAATTAAGGGTAAAACGGAGAATTGAAAGGCAGTTTTAGCTAAACAGCCAACGAAGGACGATCCGAGAAACCAAGGAACCATGTCTGATGTTAATATCCATCTCCAGTGCGAGTGCCACCATCGTCGAGGATTGATCTCTGCTCTACGGGGACGTCCTTGCCGTCGTTGTCGCAGGATGATGTCCAGAAATGTGGTCGTACTGCCCACCCAAATCGGAGTTCCCGCTGCAAGGACCACTGTTGTGCCGGTTGTTGTATCATCCTACTAACAAAAATAAATTAAATCTTCCAATCTGTGGAAGGTCCTCTGTGAATAAAGAGATCATATTTAAAAATGCAAACCAAGATTTTTATTTATAAATGTATTCCAAATATCATCGAGCACATTTTTCATGAAAAATTTATATAATTAATATTCCAATCAGCGGAAAATCTTTTGTGAATAAGAAGCAAATAAAGAGATCTGGCTTAAAAAAGGCAACCTAACACTTTTATTTATACATACCCATGACTTATAAGTTATAACATGTATTTATATCTTTGCAACCTTCAAAAGGATGACTATAAATAATAAATTGCATCTTATATAATATACATTTTGACTTTAATCTAGTTTTGTTTAGTTTTTAGATAAAAAAATTTTGTGAAAACATTTTTAACAATATTCATTGAGTTAAGAAAAAGTCATTTGGTTATTATCACTTATTTAGACTTAGACCTTTAGTACCTTTTTCATTTAAAATATATGATTGATACAATAATAATTAAATTAATATATTACCTTTAATGGTAATGGGAAAAATACATAATTGGATATTGGAATATTATCGTAAAATCAGTGGGCATTTAAATCCATTGCGCCTACATACTTAATGCGAATAAATTGATTGTGATTGCATTTAAAATGTGTTAGTTAGACTTATTTGATTGAAGATTTAATATAATTTCAAAAATGGTATTTTTAATTTTTTGATAAGCATTTACTATATAACCTGAGCCCTTAATTTAGATTATTCACAATTGTATAATATATTAAAATGATTTATTTTGAGTCATAATTGTATAATATATTAAAATGATTTATTATGAGTCATAAATTTGACACCCTAGTTCAGAAGACTTTAGACTGTTTAATTAACCATACCAGCAGAACCACGAATTTGATCCATCAACGTATCGATAAGAAAATCCCCTGCCTTTCTTATCGTAATTGAACTGGGTGTATATAAACGGAATAAGTAACTGGTAAAAGGCAAATTGAAACGCAGTCGAGCGGGAAAAGCTAAGGAAAGGAGATCCAAGAAATCAAGGAACTATGTCTGATGTCAATATAAACGTCCAGTGCGCCGAGTGCTACCATCGTCGAGGAGTCCTGTACTATGCCAATCCTTTGGCCTGGGGTCGTCCTTGCCGCCAATGCCGCCGAATGATGTCCAGAAATGTGATTGTCGTGCCCACTCAGATGGGAGTTCCAGCTGCCACCAATAACACCATCAATGCAACCACCACTACGACCACTTTTGTACCAGTCACTGTTTCCAACTACTAAATGAACACGATTCCAAGATAATATAACCTAAAACGATTTTCTAAAGTCTAATAAAAATCACTTATAAAGCAAAATACTACATTCCTTCGTTTTATACTTTATTTTAAGAATATTTAATAATTTTAGGAGCTGTCACAAGTTACAATGATTTTTTTTATATTTGTTTGAATATTCCTAAAATTCCCCTTTGCAAGGATATAAAAATACGAAATATAAACAATGATTCTAAGTACACATTATATTTATATTTTTATTAGATAACCATAAGTATAAAATATGTATAAAAACAATTTCAAAAAAAAATCTAAAAATCACATTTCCAACTGGCATTAATATTCTTAATAAATGATTTTTGGATTGATAGCTTAATTATATCTTCCAAAACATTCCAAAATATTTGCCGAGTATAAACTTAAAATACAGCATGTGGGCAAACAAAAAGTATTACGTTTTAACTTACACAATATATATAAAACATCAAGTAAGACTTCTGTAACTTTCATGATATCTTATCAGCAAACTCAAGGGATCAACTTAAAGATACGATAAGTGCATCAATCTCAATAGCTTCGTCATGATTCTGATCTCCCTTAAGACCTTTCTTTGGTTTTCAAGTTTCCCTGAAACATTTCACCAGGGTGACTCACGAACTTCACTTAATCCCAAGGCAACCCCCAGTTATGCGAACCCCCATGAATCAGCGACCTAAGCCAACCGTAATATATATAACAAAAAAATCGACCAGCCCTGGAAAAATTGAATCACTAAGGGTGCCAAAAACGTTGATCGATCAATGTACTGATAAAACAGAGAGGATTTCCTTATCGCAGTGTTCAGTGTCGAACCACCGAACAAATAAAATATATATAATAGAGACCAGCGAAAAATTAGACAGTAAGCGCTAAAAAGTGGTAGAAAGAAGACCAATTTAGACTGAATAACGGGGAAAAAATGAGTAACGTTAATAACGTCAATATCAACGTCCAGTGCGAGTGCTACCATCGCCGAGGACTTCTGTACTACACCAATCCTTGGGCCTGGGGTCGTCCTTGCCGCCGATGCCGTCGCATGATGTCCCGAAATAATATTGTGGTGTCCGTCCCAGCTGGACAGGTGGGTGTGCCAGTGCAAACCACCACCACAGTGGTGCCTGCCCAGAATGCGACCCACTGGCAGGTTCAGCAGCAGCCGCAGACCATGTCCGCCCTGCCGCCAAAGTACGATCAAGCTGTTGCCGCCAACTAAGCCAGGACTTTCTGATATTTTATTAAATTTATAAAAAATATTTCTAAAAAATAACAGAATAAAATTCCCTAAAGAACATTGCAAAATCTATGAAAATCCTAGTGAAGTTTAAAAATGTTGCCTAGTTTTAATTGGCCTACACTCATAGAAATTTTCCGGTAAAATCGCCCTAAAAACAAGGAAAATCGCCCTAAAACGGGGGTCAATGGCGACTAGGCAACAAAATTAGGGCAAATTGCCCTAAAAATACGGGTGAATTTGTCACACATTTAGGGCGATTTTTCGTAGATCTAGGGCGATTTTTCTATTTTCAAAGCTAATTGCCCTAAAAATAGGAAATGAGACCCTTACACTAAAGGCAGTTTCCTTTAAATCCAGGGCGATTTTTCTGGACTTATAGGCGAATTGCCCTGGAAATCGGAAAAAATACCTTTAAACTAAAGGCAGATTTTCATAAATCTAGGGTGTTTTTCTGGATTTTAGGGCAAATTGCCCTAGAAATATGAAAAAATATCCTGAAACTAAAGGCAGATTTTTATAAATTTAGGGCGTTTTTCTGGATTTATAGGCGAATTGCCCTAAAAAAAGCAAAGTGCTCCCCAAAATTTCCCGGCTTTTTTTCATAAATAAAAATACGATTTCATTATATTTTTTGTGTTTTTTTTATATTTTTGTTTGTTGTTGTACAATTTCTAATTATATACATTTACATACTTTTCTACTTATTCTTATTGCTAAAAGAATTACATCGATCTTAAAAATAATGTTTTGGCTTAATGTATTTTTTGGTCCTTAGGTTTTGTGCTTCCGCCGGAGGGAATTTTAGGTCTTTTAAGGTTTACTGAGTACTGATAATCAAATTTTACTTCTAATTGAATGCATAGAAATAATATTTTTTTTTGGAATGAACAGATTATTTCTTTAAAATAGTTACAGTTTTAAGGTTTTATAATCCTTCAAGAGTTCGGATAAAGCTTTACCTTTCTTATCAGACTCTAAATGATTTTCATAAAACATTTTTTGGATAAATGTCGTGGTTTAAAACAAAAAATATTTTGAAGCACACATCAATACTTTTCAATAAGGTTGGCATTCTATAAATAAACCTCTGATAGGTAAACTGGAAATTCACCAAGGTCAAAAAGGGCTTGTTCCCACGTTGCAGCTGAATGGTTGCAGTTTCGGCTTTCCGGATTAGCAATTTTCCGTCAATGCCTTTGATGTGTTTGCAGTTCCCCAACAGTAGCCTTCCAAACCAAGAAACGGCTTCGCGGGTCCGCAATGGTGTGCTTCGCGTTCTTGCTCCCGCCGTCCTTTTTTGTCAGTGCTGTCGCACCAACACTGAATGGATCGCAAGCCAAATTAAAGTTGATTGTATCTCTATTAAATAAAAACAGTCTATTTATTGAATGAGAAAAGAAAAAGAGAAAAAGCATATACCTTCAGCGTGGCTTTCCAAAGATTTTAGCAGTTTTATTCCCTTACTTTCGCTTTTAAAAAGTGCGAAAAGTGGTTTGCGGAAGCTGGATCTCAAAGACGTTCTCAATCTAAAACAAGAAAAAAAATTGTTAGAAATTAATATAAAAATGCACTACTAACAGTCAGAATTTTCATTTAGCCTGACGAAATGACGCAATAGAAATTTGGGGGTTATTTTGGCATATGCACTTGTGAATGCGGTTTGTCCGGTGCATAAATACAGATTTCTAATAAATATATACATCTGTACACATGTGTGTATTCTGTTGCATCATCTTTTTACCTCAAGCATTATTTACATATACACATACATATATGTATACTCTTGTTAATGTTCTTACTTTGTTCTGCCACACTTCCAAAACTCTACATCTGGACCGCTGCTTCCAGTCAAATCTTTTTAAGTTTCAGCTGCATTTTCCTCTGTTACAGATATGTAAATTCAATTAGTTATTAATATCCAAATTGCACAATTATATATGTATGTACTCACCAGAAAACTGAGAAAGAATCGCCTCCCAAGTCCTTTAATAGCGTTTACATTTTTCACTTTTTCACAAACAAAAGGTTTCATACAAACACGTCTTTCACTGCCAAGCGCCCGAAAAATTATGACAAAGTCTAGACAATCCAACTCTTTCTACCCCCACCCTTGGCACTGCAACGGACGAAAAGTAGCGAAGAAGAAGAAAAAGGGTGGACTTCTCTAAAGTCAAATGCGCTCAGCATCAAAATTCATAGAAAAAGGTCCGCCCTAATATACACACACATTCACTTGTTTTGACCTCCCACCGGGAAAATTCCTCTGGAAAATAACATATTTTCAAGAGGTTTCTCCATAGAAGCGGAAGGGACTAAACCTCATTCACCCCTTACATTTCTTCCATCTCTGGTTTCAAAATACACGGGGGTGACACAAAAAGTAAGGGGGAAATGAGGTTTCTATCTGGATCTCTGGCAGAAGAATGCAGGACAAAATCCACTGGTTTTTCGACTTCCCGCATTATAGATTTTCCACACGTACCCAGTTATGGTTTTCCTCCACTTGCAATATCTGCTTTTCTACACCCTCCCAGTTTTGGTTTTTCCAGACCCTCGCAGTTTTGGTTTTGCACTGCTTTGCAGTATCTGATTTTCCACAATAAAAATCATGTTTTTTGTAATATTTGTTTGTGTATTTATTAATAATATTTACAATCGAAGCATTGGAACTACAAATTTTTAATGCCTGAAGCATTCCCGGGTTTTGCTTGGCCGAATGCAGTACTTAGATATCCATTTCTTGTCTGTCTTCTGAAAATATCAAACATAATTTAGATATGAATGTAAGACCAGGAATAATAATAAGAGTAATTACCATTATTAGGTCTCCGCACAAAATTAAAGGATCTCTCCAGAAATTATGCCTGGTTTGCCATGGCCGATCATTTACCCTCTGTTCAGTTGTTTTATGTCGGGTATCTATATCAAAAACTATGAGAAGAAAAAATAAAATATGACAAGCGCAGGCGCAACACTTCTGGTCCCAAGAAGTCTCAGTCGGCCTGGCTGAAATAAATGTAATATTTTGATTAAGTTAAACAACTAAGTTAGTACTGAAGTACTATTTATACAACCATTTAATGAACACCTCACACCATTTACCACTGGTAAAGATTAAAAACATTTCAAGTGTCACTGAAATGCAGAATTTGTGTTGAAGATAGCATCCGGAGGCGTATATTTATTAATGGGGAAAATATCTGTGATACTAACCTTTGTAACGCTGAAATAAAGGTTATAAAAAGACAAAATTCATTTTATCACTCACCTTTTTATTGTGTTTTTTAGATTAAAATTAAATATTTTCACCTTTTTCACTTTTTCCAACAAATTTAAAAATGATGTGACCCTGCATCATATACTTGATAATACTAAATGCAGATTTGATATAAATTTCGTTGTAAAGTCCGGTCACACTTTGGCGCCAAATAAGTATTTCGTTTAAAAAATACTTTTCAGGGACCGTAATCATTAAAGGTTACGTATATTATTGGTATGTTAGGCATTTTTCGTGTTATCAATACCACCAACACGAATTTTTATATTTTAACAACACTTAAAAATGGCTTAGGCCACGATCTGACGATCAAATTATTTTATTTCACAGAAAATGTTTAAAAATGTAAAAAGCAACAATAGTTTTCTTTGTAATTTAATGTAATTCCTTGATAAATGTGATCAAATATTTTAATCGTCTTACCGTGGCTTTTCTCTATAATTTGGTTGAATCCCACATTCATCCTTATTATTATTTGAAAAATGTTGAGTAAAATAAATTAATATTATCATTATAGACATTATGATAATAATGTTATATAGTTTAATTTTTTTGATTAACAATTATTAATATTTTTCTACGACTTTTAAAATTACTAAAAATTAAAACTAAATGTGAGAACAAGTCTTTTGGTTTTGGTGTAAATCATAGGATTTTTGAATATTATATGTTGGTGATTTTCTTGTTTAAAAATATTATAATCGTAGTGCCACAGAAATCACACAGCGCATAAATGGCCTGATATTGATGCTACTCAGAAACCCACCCTCATTTAGCGCTCAGAAATTATCTATCCCTACACCGCCGCCTGCAAAAAGGAACAGGATTTCAAGAACACAAAAACCAACTTCTCACATTCCCGCTGGGTGACAGCCATTTATGCGCTGTGTGATTTCTGTGGCACTACGATTATAATATTTTTAAACAAGAAAATCACCAACATATAATATTCAAAAATCCTATGATTTACACCAAAACCAAAAGACTTGTTCTCACATTTAGTTTTAATTTTTAGTAATTTTAAAAGTCGTAGAAAAAATATTAATAATTGTTAATCAAAAAAATTAAACTATATAACATTATTATCATAATGTCTATAATGATAATATTAATTTATTTTACTCAACATTTTTCAAATAATAATAAGGATGAATGTGGGATTCAACCAAATTATAGAGAAAAGCCACGGTAAGACGATTAAAATATTTGATCACATTTATCAAGGAATTACATTAAATTACAAAGAAAACTATTGTTGCTTTTTACATTTTTAAACATTTTCTGTGAAATAAAATAATTTGATCGTCAGATCGTGGCCTAAGCCATTTTTAAGTGTTGTTAAAATATAAAAATTCGTGTTGGTGGTATTGATAACACGAAAAATGCCTAACATACCAATAATATACGTAACCTTTAATGATTACGGTCCCTGAAAAGTATTTTTTAAACGAAATACTTATTTGGCGCCAAAGTGTGACCGGACTTTACAACGAAATTTATATCAAATCTGCATTTAGTATTATCAAGTATATGATGCAGGGTCACATCATTTTTAAATTTGTTGGAAAAAGTGAAAAAAAGTGAAAATAGTTAATTTTAATCTAAAAAACAATAAAAAGGTGAGTGATAAAATGAATTTTGTCTTTTTATAACCTTTATTTCAGCGTTACAAAGGTTAGTATCACAGATATTTTCCCCATTAATAAATATACGCCTCCGGATGCTATCTTCAACACAAATTCTGCATTTCAGTGACACTTGAAATGTTTTTAATCTTTACCAGTGGTAAATGGTGTGA